GGAGACATTCGTGATTGGAAAATCATCCCACTTGCACAGCTTGGTTCAGGGATTGTCATCATTGAGAATGTCCGTGCATAGATCAAGATACAACACTAAATTTGCTTTCACAGTTGTTCCATGATTTTCAACTCTGTTGGATGGATAAGGTGACGATACTGTTTGATCATGATCATGTAAACAAGTATCTATATATCTGAAAATGAGGCTGAACATTTTGGCAACATTCTTTGAGTTAACTAATGTTAGTGAAACAATCCGACTCTGATTGAAAGAGGAAGAGGTCGGCTAGGAGGCGGGCACACTTTGTATCGGTAAACAAGAGGATCCAAGAGAATAGTCCAGTTACACAACACTTACATTATGCAGAGGGAGCTTAATGTGACAAGAAGAAAATGGGTAGTAATTTCGACGACGCCAAGACAACAACTCACGACTAATCATCACCTATTTACGTTGTCAGATTATAGTGTTGCTGTGAAGTATGATTGGATCTCTGCATCCAAAATACACATTACACTAGACATAGGTCAAGACTTTCGATCTCTTAGCCAAGCTCATTTACCAAATTCATAATCGGAACCAGGTTATTTAACCATAAACCATCAGCGCTGGTACACGAGCATAATACAATACAATTATGCACATTTCAAACTCATGAGAGAGACGATACATGCTTCTAAATTATTAATTTCACTGAAATTAAAAGAAGAAATCATTATTTTTAGTAATGAATAGATATTGACAATGACAGTCATCATTCCGGTATTGAAGATTTGCCATGTGGCAGTGAAGATTGTTGTTAGTTTATGTGTAGTGATTTTCACTGGCTGCAAATGATTGAAGCATTCTTAAAATGTCGAACGCTGTCGAGGGCAGATTTTAGTGGTACTCGGTGAGTAATTTAGAGTTATCCACCTTTGTTTACATGCAATATGACAAACGTGATCGTTCGAGAACTTTCGTGGTGGGACAGTTGTAGAAGGCTGACGGTACCTATAATATGAGCGACACGCCTTTTATGACCTGACTTGCATCTCATCTACAAGCCAAATGTGGTTTGGATACCTATCTAAACACACCGAATTCCTACCAGCTCCGAACACGCTTCCACACTGACATTATTCCGGTCAAAGACCGCCTCCGTGGTCTAGTGGTAGAACGTCTGCCCGGAGAGCGGAAGATCCGGGGTTCGATCCCCGGCCGCTTCATACCAAAAGACGTTAAAAGATGGTACTTGTTGTTACCCTGTCTGGTCGACTCGGAGTCAGTATACTGTGTCTGAGTGGGGTATTCATGTTAAACTGCGGCATGGTATCTCAGTGAGCTAGCACTATAAATCCGCATCAGTCCGGACTAGTACAAGCAGCCACACAAACACACACACGAACATGCACGTCGCTATATAAGTGCAATAACCTTGGACGCGACGTTAAACCCCATTTCACCTCACCTCACCTTATTCCGGTCAATAGTGTGTGTACTGACATATATTGTAGGGCATGTTACTTGTTGCTGCTTCCACTTATTTGATCCATTTTATTGCCTTTTATGATCGTAAAGCTAAAAGTGTGTGTTTCAATATGATATCTTGTGTGGTCATTTACTGTTTCACAGACCGTCTCCGTGGTCTGATGGTCGACCGTCCGCCCGGAGAGTGGAAGGTCTGGGGTTCGATCTCCGTCGCGTGATACCAAAAGACGTTAAAAAAAGGACCACACTCACTCACTCACTCACTCACTCACTCACTCACTCACTCACTCACTCACTCCAATATACATCCCATGCTCAACATGAAGATAAAACAGATATCGACTTCATGATTTCAGTAATGCCAGTGCAAATAAAACATCTAGTCATCATAAAACCGCATTGATCCAATGTGTCAATGTTCGCTCTTACTGGCAGATCCAGTTCCGACAACATGTTGAAGACCCGAAAGTAGCCGCCCTGGTTGGTGTATCCTTGAAGGTGAGCATCATTGTAATGACCTTGAATAGTGAATTCTGCTGAATCAGACCCTTACAGGCAACATCGAGTGCGATACAGGAGCCAGAGTAAAATGATAACTACGTACTATGAAATCGTAACAATGTAAAGTTAAAGTCATCACGACTGAATTCTGTAAATGTCATAAATGTTCCTGAAAATTTAGATCGTACCTGTTCGAAGCCCATATCGAGTTTCGGTTGCCGAGGTGATCTGGTGTGTGTGTAGATCTATCTTAGTTATTTTGACGGCGTTATTAGCACAGCTCCAGTTCCTGACAATTAAAATGCTCACCGTAAACTGTATTAATGCTAAGTGGAAAAAAATAACGTGTGTTTTCATCAGTTAGAAATGATTATCTTTCATTTGATCTTCTACCTCTGATCAGCGTTGGAAATACCTGACTGCCCGACCGTCCCAGACGGAAATATTCCGTCTCGGGGAGTAAACTTTTAGAAAATGCACGCCTGATGGTCGTGTTGAATATTTTAAACGGTATATGTAAAATATATGAATACAAATTTGTTTAAACCTCATGTTGGCCGACATGATGGCTACGAATGCAGCTAAGCGACTCATTTGCGATTGCACGAAATGTTACTGTAACCAATGCTAACGTTTAATAATATATTTACATGAAACTTTGGCGTGTAATCCCAACACTGCAACAACGCGAAGTAAATGTTTGGCATAACAATGCGAGGCCGCCAAAATAGTGTTGAGCTTTGTGTGTGTGTGTGTGTGTGTGTGTGTGTGTGTGTGTGTGTGTGTGTGAAGGTGTGTGTGTGTGTGTGTGTGTGTGTGTGTGTGTGTGTGTGTGTGTGTGTGTGTGTGTGTGTGTGTGTGTGTGTGTGTGTGTGTGTGTGTGTGTGTGTGTGTGTGTGTGTGTGTGTGTGTAAAAAAATCAACATCAGTATTTGTCAGAATATCTTTGAAGTTAGGGACATGTAAGTAAATCCATGCAGCCCTACCAGTATCCAATGGCCCAAGGTTCCTTCTCATGTTTCCACCGTGCATCCTCACTGAAGCCACGTGTGAAGGTGGTGGCGGACTTGCTACTGACCGCTGACTCATCTATATACCCGTGAACAGTCATCATGGCATATAGAGAAAAGCCAGCAAGGCACACAGAATGGTCACACGTTCTTATAACGAAACCAACACATTATGTGAAAACAACCACTTCGTCCATAATAACGCCTACTCTTTTCAATCTAAATACAGGACAAAATACTGGGATAAGGGTGACCTCATTTGGTATCCGGCAACACAAGAAGTCGTACAACGGCGTGACTGATGACTCGGCATTTGGCTGGCAATGACCTTCAGTGCTTTCGAAATAAAAGGAGATAAGACTACTTCATTTGGCGCTTTCAAACCCAAAAGGAACTAAGGCCTACTTCATTTGGATATCTGGCCAGACGTGTTGGGTTTCCGTTGATAAACAGCTCCAGCCATGAAATCTTGGTCGTGTAGAAGCCAAAGCGTGTGATTTTTGCCATAGTCAGATATTCCAGCTTTCGGGAGGTGGACCTATGATGAAGTTTATAATGTGTGAGTTATCTTCCAGTGTACGATTCCGACTATTCCATGAGCACTTGTTTATGAATCAATATACAGTAATGATGATGTTGGCACATAAAATAATGTATTTAAGGACATTTATAGTGCTTAAAATTACATTATTTTATAACTTATAATGAAACGTGAAACAATGCTGAACATAATTATGAAGCTGCTGTAACGCTTCCTATAGTATTAGGGGGTCACGGGTGGCCCAGTCGTCTGAGGCGCCGCGATTCGCTGTGCAGAGTTGCGTCCCTTGGACACGCCAGAAACCTATGATTGTGGGTTCGAATCCCGGTTCGCCCCGATTATGTTTCTACGTTTGTCAGCACCATATACCCGTGCTCGTGGATTTCAGCGAAGTGGTAAACGTCTGAGACCTGCATCACTTCCTGCTTTCCTCCCACATTAAGCTGACACGCCATGATACAACTGGAATACTGTTAAAAGCTCACTCACTCTATAGGACCATAGTATAAGTTTATACATAAGATCCTTAAGTTCAAGAGTATAATGTCCAACCCTTTCTCTTGGATCCTTGATCACCGATTCAAGTCACTGCATCTTATAACCAGTATGGAGATCAATTATATACCGGTTTCCCCAGGACGCAGGGTTGGTCGAAGACGCGTCCATTTCGCATTCGGATCTGTTGCCTTGTTTATTCAGATGAACATTTGACTGCCCTTTGCAAGAGTTTGTGACGGGTGCCACAGGCGAGGTAGGATAAAGTCAACACTATTGTATTGTGATCACATGCTTACGGTGATGTGTGGTGAATTCAGGTTTAACATTTCAGGTGTGTGTGTGTATGTGTGTGTGTGTGTGTGTGTGTGTGTGTGTGTGTGTGTGTGTGTGTGTGTGTGTGTGTGTGTGTGTGTGTGTGTGTGTGTGTGTGTGTGTGTGTGTGTGTGTGTGTGTGTGTACCAGTTCGAACGTATGGCTATTTTATAATGCTACCCCAATAAGATACCATTCCGCAGTTTAACATGGATTCACCATACTCAGACCCTATCTCTTTAATGCCGTACGCTAGTTAGGATAACAACAGGTAAAGTGTTGTAAAGCCTTTTTATATGACGCGGCCACGGGATCGAACTATGGCCTTCCGCTCTGGGAGGACGCTCTATCCACTTGACCGCAGTGGATCTCACATACCTATGCTATCGTCGGAATCCTACAATGGACTCTAAGAGCCTAAGGGTTTTCTCTTGTAAGATGGTTTCAGTCTATATACAAACTTTGATATAAAACTAGATACACTATATATACATGTTCTTGTTGCCAGACATATCCGAAACCAAACCTGTATAAAATATATAACTTTTGAAGCCAAGCCAAGGTAGTCCTTCCATTCGCACAATAAAAAAGTGAATTATGGTTGACTTTTTTTGTGACAACTGTATTCAAAATCTAAGGTTAACTGAATGTGAAGCATAAACACGTTGTGTTCAGAAAAGGTTTATTCAAGCAATAAGGAGAGGCCATCGGTCCAATGCACAAATGGGTTGAAAACAAATTGGAGAGAGAGGGTCACACATTGATGAATTAAAACGGTGACATCAATTTATTCAACACTTGATGATAGAAAGAATAATCACAAATGACGAAATAATATTAAATACATGCAGACAATGTCTTTGAAATACAAGGCGCGCCAATTAATCATAATTTATGGACAAAACTTAAAATGAATTGCTCCTTTTTAAAATTCATACAGACAATATTTAATGACCTCAACATTTTTGGAAGAAAACATGCATAGAAGAACCGTTACATTGTATCAAGGAGTTGGATTGTATACATGTATTGTTTTCACAAACTCTTTACCCTTGTATAGCATTTGATGCGGCGTAAAGTATCTGCATCTCTACTCCGTTGTGCAACCATCTGTTCTGCTCACTCGCAATCTCTCTGCCTACACTATCCTCTCTAGTCACCGGGTCCACCAACTCATTGCACTCACAGTATCCATTCTATCCTCCCTTGAACACTCCAAACACAACCTTTCCCATATCAATCCGCCTACTCTAACCATTTTCACTCAATACTCTAGTTAACCCAATGCCGTTATTACAATGTATACCTAAACTCTAAAGGGCAATCTTTCATCTTCTCCTGGTAGGTTTTGTCAAACCACTCATTCTGGGCGACAGTGAACCAATTCTTCCAGTCACCGGTACCACCTAAAGTAATAACATAAGAAATTCAGGCGCAAAACATGAAAATATTAACTTTAGCTACCTTTAGAACATAAATTTACGAAATTTATCAGTACATTTCAAATTGCTTGTAATTATGAAAAAAGTTTTGTCAGTAGCAAAGGTAGCGTTTAACATTGGCAACGACGTCTCAGCATATTGTCTTTGTACATTACTGAAAGCCATCAGGTGACAAGTCATCCCCGGCATGTCAAAGATATAATAAATGCAACAGTGCATACTGGGAGGTAAATACTCACCATTTCGAGATGTTCTTTTCCACAAGTGTACAAGGAAGTAAAATCTAAACTTTTCGAATTATTCTATTTTCTATTATTCTATTACTTTTCTTGATATTCCATTCAACAGAGCGCACTCGAAGATTTATTCTTAGGCTTTGATTGATTTTAGAGAAGCAATAGCATTTTATATTCTCCCTTCAGTTATGGCTTCTGACATTAGTATACAAACTATATGCATTGAAGTATAGTCTGCATAATTCCCAAGAGTATACATTTTTCGTCAATCCACAATAGTTGTTACATTAAGTGTAAAGTATAAAGTGCATCAAGTCAATCTACCCTCTCTAACCACTCTCCAGGGACTGCTTGATCGTTAGATTAATGCTCACCTTGTCCAGATATTCAATACAGTGGTTAGTACTCATCTGTCCTATATGTTCAGGCTCATCTGTTGCAGACATTGCCTCTTAGAGAGCTTATTGGTACATACATTATCCTCTTGTCTTGATAGTCCATCTCACAGAGTTTACTGGGAAATACATCATCCTTTCTACATATTCACTCTCACAGAGCGTACTGGGAGATATATACTATATTTTCGAGATAGCCAGTCGATAGCGCGTACTTGGAGAGACAAATACCATCTATTCTTTATATTCCATCTCACAGGGCGTACTGGTAGCTAAATGCTCACCTTGTCTATAAATTTGATTCCACAGAGAGTACAAGGGGGGTACATACTCACCCTTTCTGTACACGATGTCGGCCATAACCTTGATTTGCTTCATGGAGGCGAAGCTGCAGTGATCGCATACTTCCTTCATGAACTCATCACTTCTCGTTGTGCCAAGGAAATCTTGCATTTTCTTCATCTCGCGGAATGCATCCTTAAACGTATAACATCAATATTATTAATATCATGAACAGACAATGACCGAGAACACACATGGTAAGAAAACTAAAATTAGGGTTGCAACATAAACAGCTTACATCAACACGAGCTCTCTGTTTGTTTTTAAATTACGAGGTAAACCCAGTAACGCTAAGACGGAGCAATTTTTCTAGCTGTTAAAACGGCTGTTTCAATCAGAGTTAGTTATTGGGAATTTATACCTCTGATTGACGAATCAGAATCGAGTATTTTCCAAATCCATGGTAGAATGTTCGTTTTTACTTTTCTGTTCATAATTTCAAATTATATTTTAAATATTTATGTCCTGCAACACTAGACTATTTAACATTAACACACGTTTTGAAAAACACAGTAAACTAATCCTCTGTGGTTTGAAATTTGACAAGAGCGCTTTAGAACTGTTGTAAAATACGCCAGCTATCATAAAATGTGCTGAAAAGGGACCACGGGTAACAATGTAACTCCAGTTCAAGATTATTTACTTATATTCTTGATTAGTTCAAAATAATGCTCACAATATATAATATTTTCAACAAGAATTGATTTAAGAAAATAATAAATCTCCACAGATTTATTTAATGTCCTGGCAGCCTGTTGCATGACTGCGCTGCTTGGACTCAACTAAGTCATTTCCTGGGTATCAACATAACATCTTCGACTGTAGGGTGTACGCATCGTTGGGTTGGCTTCATATTGAAGGCTTTTGCATGTTTGTTAATTCAGAGGTAATAATGGATCCAGATTTCAATCTTATTTTGACCAATCAACAACTTGCATTCTTCACTGTCACGTTGAATACTATGCAAACACCAAAGCAAGGAACACAAGTGAGTGGGCGATTTTGCCTCGTTGATCAATATTCCAGCAGATTGGGACACAAAAATAAGCTTAATATTACGTTCAAACAGACTACTGTGAGTAACATCTTTCAGTAGCCCTGCTTACCTCTTTGATGTCTTCATAGCTGAGTGTCAGTATGGGGACGTCAGTGGTTTTCTTCACCTCCTCCCAGTCCTTCACATAGTCGAACCAGCAACCGTAGTCAACTGAAACAAAGAACATATTTATGACATCACAAGGTCACAAAGTCATGGTCTGGAATAGGTTGAAGAGTTAGGTTTAACGCCACTTTGAACGGTTTATCATTTAGATGTCTGAGGAAAACGCAATGCTCCTAAACAAACGACCTCCTGAACAAGAACACGACCATGCGAATGGTACTGATCGACCACGGATTTTACTCGGGACGGATTTAGGGTTTCAACCCATGATAAGTGTAGCCTGACAGAATCAATGGAGAACATAACTGGGATTTATGAGATCTGCAGTGCACGTATGCATAAGGTCTGTCCACTATTTCTTTATCTAAGAATCACTCACACTTCCCCTCCAGTGAGGGGCGGACGAAATTCTTCCATTCTCCAGTGTAGTTGTAGCACATCGGCAGTTTCTTCACAAAGTTGTAAAAAGAAACAGTCACGTCCTTTGGGTTCCTAGTCACGTACACGATCTTAGGTGTCTTTACTTTAACCTGCTCCGGAAGTTCGTTGAACAACAAGTGAGAGTTGAGGATCCTGGGAGAAGGAAGATCTTTGTATTTTTCTTCACTGACAAATTCCATCATGCCAGTCCCTTTGCTGACTTCATCACGGTCGAGTTTTCCCGCCACCAGCAGGCGGACCATCTCCCAGACCCAGTGGGTACCTGTATAGTAATACCATATGGAGGTTCGTAATTCGGGCAAACTAGTTTTGAGTTTTCAACGCCGACACATACGACGTCCTACTGCAGCCACGTGCAATGGTGTACGCCTAAAACACAAATCACAGCCATAGACTGTTTGAGTTTGGTTGAGATAAAAAAAATGTGTGTAACGACAAGTGATTAGAGTATAAACATAACTAATGTCAAAGCCAGAAAATAATCAGTCTCGATTATCTACTGTAACCACTCGGCGTAAGGGCAAAATAGAAGTGAACTTAATATGAATGGGTCACTGAAAATCAGTGATTACCCCAGGTGGTCGCGAAAAGGGTTAAGAACGTTTACTGTCCAGCTCTTCCGGTAGCACACACAATTTGCATGAACGCAAAACCTTGACGAGACAATCCAGTAATTCTTCACCTGTATCGCAGGTATCCCATCAGTGTATACCTGACTTACTGTTCACTTTCCACTGGGTTACCTCGACAATTATTACGTCAATGTATCACACTCTGTGGGAAACCAATTCTGTGTTGCGTCACTGTATAACAAAAAGCTGAAGATCGAGGCTTGTACAATTTCCCTATTCATCTTTGGACTGTCTTGATTTTCAACGCTTAAAAGTGCTTTTAACAGTAAGGACCCTTTAAACTAACGTGCAATTTTCCCTGAACTATATAACTGTATTGATAGGTACAGTTTACCTACCTGACTTAGGGAAAGCACACACCAGGATATCGTCAGAGCGGATTTCAACAGATGGTAGTTGCTCCAATGGATGCATATCCACAGTTACGGGAAACCTTGGATATTTGCGGCCATTGTAGCTTATCATCGTCAACTCATCTCCACCATCATCAGCTACACGTATCTCCATGGCGACGACAGGTCGTTGTCTTTTAAATCCAGTGACCAGAGCGTCTGAATATGGTATACACGACTTGAGTCTGAAGGGAAATATATTGATGGAATCATACTTTATTGGACAGATTTATTATTCGGGGTCGACATTTAACCAAGTAATACAAGTAACTGGGGAATTCTGCTAGAGATGGAATATTCGGTCAGTCAACCTTCTAAACACACACATTTTTTCACTTCAAAACCTGAGCCCAAATTATCTTGTCAGCATTGTCTTATGACAACACATGTTTAAATTGCTATGTCGTAGCCTAAACGCAATCTTTTTTTATACCGCAACGTTCATATGGACAAACACAGTTGACTAACACAAAAGTAGGCATAATGCACTTGTGGACAGCAATGTTCCGCTAAACATCAAGTGGGACCTCGCTAATCAGGACACTAGTTTCTCCTTCAGGACAATAAAACACGAATAGGTCAAGAAGGCGGACATGTGAAACGTAAAACATATTACAACATGCAAAACTACAGATACTTACTGCTGAACGGTTTTCGTCTTATTAACATAGTCTGTTATCGCAGCAGTCGAACTTTGTACTTGTTACTATAGGTTAGCTGAATTACCAAGGGTAAAACGACGCTCGTTGTAGTGCGCTGACATGCTGCTCACACTAGTCATACACACGCGAGCTCGGGTCATAATCTGTGCACACTATTTACAGCCAACCTGATCTCACAGGGTTTATATATTCATTATTCGGTCAAATTATTTCAATGTTGACGTTACTGTAAACGTGTTGTGTACGAACCTAGATATGTGGGCATTACACAGCTGTGCTTTACCGTGAACCTGATATAACGAGCCCGATATTGGACAATTGTGTCACAGCCGGACATGAGCATTTGCAGACATATCCTAACTGCGATCTACTTTTGTACGATGATGTTGACATGGCACAGTTGATTCAGGAGACATACGGACACTTGTGGACGAGCCGATCTCCTGACTGGTCAAGGGAATTTCCATTACGGGTTGATTAAAACAAACATGTAATACGGTATTTACCACAACACAAGTAGTACTCACCACTTAACGATCGCCCTCCTAATGTATTCTTTCATCGCAGCACTCATGCTGTATATATAATGCATTGCATCAGACTGCTGCGTCACCAGGGGTATGCGTAGGTAACCTTCGTGCAACACGCACTTGCTGCTCGTACACAGTTAATGACACAGTGGCAGAATATGTGTACGCCCTTTACACTGCAAACACGAAAACGTCGTTTTTTCCCGTATATGGTCATTGGACGGAAAAACGACGTTATTTGGACGTTTTCAAACCATCGTTTTTCCGTCCAAATAACGTCGTTATTTGACATCGGAATTTACTGGGAGAGAACGATAGCGTTAAGCTCCTCCCTTTCTTGATTGACATTGTCAATCAAGCAACAGCGTCTACCGGTATTTCTACTTCTCAGATTTCATTGGTCAGTCCCCGCATGTTAGATTACAGGCCCGCGTTTGACGCTGCACTCGAAGCGCTCAGCGGAAGTACTGAAATCAATCGTTCTGCGCATGCCGATTACTTAATGCCTTGACCAAATTTTCCGTTCTGTGCATGCGCGATTTCGCGTATTGGTCCTAGATTTAATGTCACCACTATTTGACAATGGTTCATAAACACAGTCACGTGAAGGTTCGGAATCGTAACGAGTAACTCCATTTAAATTGAAGAGGATTCCCAGTGATATGGGAGATTCCAAGATGAAACTATTCTATGGCTATCTAGGCTGCCACCCAAACCGATCTAAACGGGACCCGATAGCTTATTGTATGCTATATAGTCATATGGAAGTGGACAAGAACTATACATTGTATTCCGGCCGATTGTTCTTGCATTTACTTATAAGTCAGGAAAATGGACTTAAAAGGGGACTTGTTGAATGTAATTATTTTAATTATTAAATGTTGCCTATACACTAATCTGGACGAACTTCTCATTGTTCTGTTTATGTTATCCTATATACTATTAGTATGTTACCGTTCTAAAGTCAACCTCTCACATAACATTATATTGTTCATAGTATCAAAGTTTAATCAACAATATCAAGAGCAGCGATTTAAACCACTGAAACACCCAAACACAAGGCTGTTATCAAGCGCTAGTGCAGACGTGATGCATCGTAAAAACTGTATCGTGATGTCTTCAGAAATTCAATTATACTACGAGATAGTACGGCTAACGCTGACTCACCGGTGGAACAAAGACAATATCGCTAATACAGATTTTAACGTATTTGAATGTTAATACTAAAGACAAACAATCATTATTTTTGCAGTGACGATATAACACGTATACACGTTTATTGTTAACTTTCATCAGTTTTGCTCTTCATTTAAATAACTTTGTTTTCACATATATATGTAGCAATACCCGACAAGCATGTCATACATAATTATGGGGCAGTTTTCAATCTTGTACTGACTTACTCTGGTGTTAATGAGCGAAGTTTATTGGCTTGTGTGTAAAACCCCGTTTTTCTGGTAATCCTATTATTACTTAGTTTACTTCTATCTAATGACACCCTGTTCTCTGGATCATGGCTCCGTGACTATCCATAACAATTAAGATGAACATTCAGTTCAAGTAAATGAATGAGTTTGTTTTGACGCTACAGTCAGTCAAAAAACCAATGCTGTGAGGTTTGATAACACACTTCTACCAGGTCGAACATCGTGGATCCTCATTTTCTGCCTAAAGAGAATCATAGTTCATATGCTAATCCATCTGCGAATACTCTCCCACTCAAGATGACCTTACTTGTTGCTAAATCTATCATCTATCCCCCTAATCTCACCCGCCCCCACCCCCCACACGCACGCACGCACGCACGCACGCAAACACGCACACACACACACACACACACGCAAGCACACACACACACACACACACACACGCACACACGCACACACACACACACACACACACGCACGCACGCACGCACGCACGCACGCACGCACACACACACACACACACGCACGCACGCACGCACGCACGCACACACACACACACACACACACACACACACACAAACAAACAACTGACCTAAATAACCTGGACAGGAAATACTGCTGATAGCCTCTGGTCAACTCAGCCGCGCCACCGCAGAATGTTCGTCCAACTCTGCAGGGGGCATTCTCAGTGGCTTCAAACGCGCTGAAATGTTTTCGCCTTGCATCCAAGATGGTGGACAAGTGAAATCGTATGAAATTTGGCTATTTTAGGTCCTATCTCTTTTTTGATTACCCAATAAAGTCAATTCATAGTTACACGGTTGTGAAGAAGCTTACAACTTTATAAGACTTATTCATCTCATTCCAAAAAAGCTACTCGCTCTCACATAAAGTTGTAGTTATTATGTCACTGTTTTATTTCTTTAAAAATATATCAACAATAACAATTAAGATGAACATTCAATTTCCGATATAAGTAAATGAATAAGTGTGTTTTACGCCACAATCAGTCAAAGACCAACGTTGTCCGGTCTGATGACACACAATCTACCAGGTAGCACATTGTGTACACCCTATCCCCATTGAAGTCTCCACTGTGGGTATTCCTGGGGACGAAAAGGCCCCATGTACCTAGGAATTTCATCAATACATTCTCTGCCTAAAGAAGATCATATAGTTAACATGCTAATCCAATTCGAACTACCATCCCGCTCAAGATGAATGTTTTTTGTAACATCCAACAGGCCCACATTTACGCACGCACGCACGCACGCACGCACGCACGCGCACACACATATTTGGATTTACCAATCCCTGAATTGAGAAGACGTGCGTTACGAAGCTCCTCCAAGTCATCATCAATATCCGTATATGTCTGTGATATCATTACCCATCCAAAGCCGAATATACATTTATTGTGTTTTCTTGACAACAAATGTTATAATTGGGATAACACTTTCTGAGTAAAGTACAGATTCTCGTACTTTCTTGGGTTGAGCCCCCTCCGGGATTTGAACCCACACTGTGAGTGAGGCACCCAATCGCCAGAACACAAAGTTGGCGATCTAACCCAGCCACCGAACCATAAAAGGTTAGTCCAGATGACGTATACTTTCTGTACTCCTCTGACAAGAGAAAAATGGCACGGCTTCTATGACCGAAAGCTTTGAACCAACAATGCCTTAAAGAAAGTGGTCAACAGTAACACACATTATATTTGGATACCACTTTCTCAGTAAACTACATATTTTTAGGGTGGAGATAATAGACGTTGATGGTTGATTATCAATGGACAAATTAAAGCCAAAACTTAACTTATGAATGATTGGTAATGGGAAATGGACAATGGGCAAACGGGAGGCGGGGTAATCAGCGCCATGCCAGTTATCTGTTGGCTTCCCTTGTTGCGTTCCCATCTTTGCTATCTTTTTACTTTTGTTGTTCTTACAGGTACAAATATATGTTCTCTGCCTCATAGCATTTAATAATATGCACCTGGTGAAGGAGAAAGTATATATTCCGAAACGCAGTGTTCCTCCGTTGACATCCATAAATATTTTTCCTTGTGTGTATCAGTTCTTAATGCCCTTCAAAGACTCAATCTAGCTTTGTTTTTAAATGTGGTGATATTTGCGTAGAATATAATATGGTCATGCCTATATACATTTGGGTCTTTGTCTACATAAGCATTTAGACATACAATTTAGAGCTAAGGACATTGCTAATTCTGCAGGCATGAAGTACACGTCATAGCAAGCTGTGATCTTTATTCATACTTTAGATATTCGTAATGGAGATCTGTAACTGAAGTTTACCGTAATCTTCCGCAACTCTCACCTCCTGACCAGTTGAACGTCTTAGTGCATTCAGATGCCATTGTAAAATTCCAGGCTGACCCTCTTTCTGTGATTTTTTGACGGATGAAATCTATTGCGTTATAATAATCTCTGTTTGCTGATATATAATATGTACATGTTGTAAAATATTTACGATATTTTAAACGTGTAATTCGATGCATATGCAATGCAATGTGAACATAAGTGCGGATGCACGAAGGCGGTTATAGTCATAGTTATACTGCGATGGATGTAAGGGAATGGTAGGGGGGTGTATGTATGTTTGAAAGCACGAATACCGATACATGAGGGCGGATATAGTTATAGTTCGATGGATGTTCGGGAATGGTGGGAGGATAGATTATGTATGAAAGCATGCGCATGGATCCATGATGGCTGACGTAGACATAATGGTGGGGAAAGAAGAATGTGATGTGTGAGTGTGTGTGTGTGTGTGTTCGTGCGTGCATGCGTGCATGCGTTGTGATACGAGGGTTGGCGAACATGTTGTCAGATGATTGTGTGAGTAAGTTAAGTGGTTGAGGATGTGGCAGGTATGAGTATTGATACATGCAGACTTGGGGTTGGGGGACTGGGTGTGCCTGTACTGAGGTCTTTTGTTTCACTCACTTATAGTGTTTTCTTTCACTCAAATACTGTTTTACGCATTTTAATGACTGCAACTGTAGTGACTCAAAGGTCATACTGGCCGGGCATTCAACATATCTACCCCAACTACATACGTAGCCATTTTTATGGTGTACAATTCTTCTTCTACCTCACACACACACACACACACACACACACACACACACACACACACACACACACACACACACACA